CTCGACTTACAAATGGTTGGGGGGTCACGGAATTAAAAAGGTTGAGAACCACTGCTCTAAATCTTGCTATCCCTATAGCATGCTTTTGCCATGCATCTCAAGTGGAACTCCCTTGTGCCGTTGTTTCTTCAGCTGTACCACAATGTTGAAAGAGCAACACTGTTGCATTCCCCTGGCTGAAATTCACATGTCACCAGCTGCAGGAAAAGCCACTACCAACTGCCACACAGAACATGCCAGAGCTTATTTGTATTATCTGGGCACTCTATGCAATATTTTTTTAAATTCCTCCCTCCCCCAATCTATTGACCTAATGAACATTAGATGGCCAGAAAGGGTTTACATATTTTAACTACAACCTAATAAATTTTCCTGGGATGTTGGTACATGTGAGAAGCCATGTGAATCTGTGAAATGCTCTTGTACAGGGATCCCAACCCCCAGTCCGTGGACCAGTACCAGGCCACGGCATGCCAGCAACCGGTCCGCACAAACAAGCAAAGCCCCATCTGAGGGATGCAGGCAGTACACAAAACCACGCAACCTCCGGTCAATGGAAAAACCTCTCTCCACAGAACCGGTCCCTGGTGCCTACAAGGTTGGGGACCTCTGCTCTTGTACATCAACAAAATGTTCCAATTGTTTATTAGTTGACTTGTTGACCACGAGATGGCACCAAAAGGTTGGTGTTTGCATCACTTTATTGCCATCTAATGACCACTTATGCAGCTGCTGGGTAAGTGCTGAAGAGCTTTACAGTAGTTGACAAAGGAGTTCTTTTTCTATTTTTTATACAAATGCCTAGTATTTTCTTTTTTTTAAGTCTGTATTACTTTTTATTGTTGCAACTGTATTTTTAAATAAAATTACTATTAAAAGAATCAAACCATTGAATGTCCTGTGCCAAGATATTCTCTCTAAAACAACTAAAGTCATCTTTAGACGGCCTTCGTAGCAGACTAAAGATGAGAGAGTTGTTAGGACACATCCTTTTGAGTCTGAGAAGGAACTCCACACCAGGACAAAGACGTTGAATGCTAGGCTCTTCAGAGTAAGCTGCTTTTTTCCCCTTATTTCTATAAAACTATGAATGTGTGTGGCTCTTTACAAATAGAAAATGGACATGAAAATTGTCACAAGGCAGGCCATGGGGTCGGGGAGGGAGAGTGTAGTGATGGAGGCATATTAAGTATTCCATGTGAATCTAAGCATATTTATTTAAAATCCAGTATAGTTTGAAGAGGCTTGCCCCACAGCAATAGTGCACTGTTAATTACAATAGATATGTTAAAGACTATACTTAGAGCTTGACAGAATAAAAAAGTGTTTACAAACAAAATGAAGCAGCTATGGTTTCAAATATATTCCTCTATTTTTGGGCTCCTGTATTATTTTATTTAATGTTATATATCATACATCAAAATGATATAAAATGCAGCCATTCAAATAATACTAATTACTAATACTTGGGATTACAGGTATTCCTTGATTCACCTCCACAATTGAGCCCAAAATGTCTGTTGCTAAGCAAGACAGTTCTTAAGTAAATTTTGCCTCGTTTTACCTTTCTTGCCACACTTGTTAAGTGAATCAGTGCAGTTGTTAAGTTAGTAACACAGTTATTAAGTGAATCTGGCTTCCCATTGACTTTGCTTGACAGAAGGTTGCAAAAGAGGACCACATGACTCTGGCACATTGCAACAGTTATGAGTCAGTTGCCTAGTGTCTGAATTTTGATCATGTGACCATGGGGATGCTGCCAACATAAGAAAAATGTTCATAGGTCACTTTTTTCAGTGCCGTTGTAACTTTGAATATTCACTAAATGAACTGTTGTAAATTGAGGATTACCTGTATATGACACCAATATTGAATCAGTTCACTAGCTGCCAATGTATTTCTAGACCTAATTTATTAAAGTACCTGCTATCAGTGTTTAAAATTATAAGCCAGCCTTTCAAATGTAGGCTTCCTCCAGATGTGTGTTATCTAGTTGAGATCCACCAGATCACATAATTCTGAGCTATCAATTTAGGTGGCTAAACAAATTAGAACTACACAGCATGCAATATATATGTTATTATTTTACTTATTTATTGAATTTATATTCTTTTTCTTTGTGGTCTAATTGTTAAGTCTAGAAATCAGGACATTATGAATTCTAGTCCTGCCTTAGTCATGAAAGCCATCTTGGTAACTCTGGGCCAATCACTCTCTCTCTGTCCAGCCCACCTCACAGGGTTGTTATTGTGGGAAAAATAGGATGAGGAAGGAGTATTAAGTATGTGTTTATTATCTTGTTTTTTAAAGGTTCTGATTTTTGTTTCAAGTTGAAAAGGGGTCTAATAAATAATAATAATAATAATAATAATAATAATAATAATAATAATAATAAAGTTGGAAGGGACCTTGGAGGTCATCTAGTCCAACCCCCTGCTCAGGCAGGAAACCCTATACCATTTTAGACAAATGGCTCTCCAGTCTCTTCTTAAAAACTTCCAGTGTTGGAGGCATTCACAGCTTACACAAATTACAAATGTGTAATTTAGTGCTGATTTTATTACTACCATCAACTTCAAAATTCATGGAGAATAAGGCAATCATTTTCATTAGTCCTAATGCCCGATGTTACTTACAATATCAGAAACTTACCTGTCAATAATTATTGAGAAAATATGTATGTGTGCACATTATCTTACTATATCTTGTGTACTGGCTTTATTGAACCACTTTGGAAAAAGAATACAGTACTATACAAGATAAGCCTTTACTCTGATCCAGCAGAGCAGCAAGGTATGCACTTTTTTGTATAGCAGAGCAGGCTCAATTAGAATATAGTAAAATAAAGAAAGGAAAACTGAGATGCAAGGTTCAGTCTGCTTCCCAATTTTCAACTAGCTAATTTTGAACTATTGTGTATTACCGTAGAAGAATAAAGATATAACCTGCACTTGGGCCCGCGGGATTGTGCAAATAAGGAAATGCAACATTTGTTTTGAAGCCAATGCAAAGACCTTAAACGTTTAATTTCTAATCCTTGGTGGTGGACAAAATATACATCTTTCAAAAACATGTATTTTATATATTTAGCTGAACAAGACCTCATTTCATCTCAACATCTTAGCAGAAGCTTTTGCCCTGTGAGTAGAATGCTTCACTTTTGCACAGCCACATTTTGGAAAAATAAGGCACGAACTTGCTGTGGCCTGGATCACTGCTGCCCTCTATAGGTTTTATTGCATAGACTGGAGCAGTGAAAATCTAAAACAATTCAAAAAGCGGAGGTCTGCCTATGTACGCACATACACCATACATGTTTTGAAAGACTGAATAACAAACACCAAATGTTTTTTTTATGGGACGGAAGCAGATATGCTAAGCACATAGTAGAGGAAAGCATTCAGTAACCTAAATTAGTACCTAAATGTGTATGCAAGTAGTCCTTGACTTACGACCACAATTGGGACCACAATTTCCATTGCCAAGCAAAGCAGTTGTTAAATGAGTTGATTGGATAGGGAGGAAGCTTACATAATAGATATCGTATTCCCCATCCAAAGCAGCACAGTTGCATAAAACACGGGGTGGGCAAATACGTCCATTTGGAAAAATTTTTTTAAAAAATTAAGGAAAAATTAATACTAGTGTAATATACTAGTTACTTTTTTCCCCTAAATCTATAGATTTTTTAAATAATATCTTAGGGCATTGGTAAAATATTACAGTAAAAATAACAACCAAAAATCTTATAAATATATAATCCTTGTGGAATTCAGAGCAAGATACACAAATTTACTTCACACTTCAACCTTAACTTCACACTTAACTCAAGCATCAGCCAGCAGGGTGAGGTTGGCGCTTTCACAAGTACGTTAACCTCATTTCAGAGGTGCCAGTCCTGCAAGCGATCAATACTGCTATTGAAGAAAAAAACAAATGGGGGGGGGACTAAAAGCCCCGAGCGTGGTCGCTATGTCAGCCAAGACAAAATAGCCATAGGACAGAGCCCAGCCATCAGAAAAGGAGACAAAGCATAATTAGGTGGCCAATTAGAGCTGGATTGTATTATTCCCATCCTCATGCCCATGGTATATATTGTAGATGGGTTTTATGGTGAGACTTGGGCCAGCGAAACAAAACACACCATTTTAACAATGGTACTAAACATGATTTCAAGCTGCTTCGGGTATCATGTGGGCATGTTAGCAAGGTATCTTTGGACAGTAATCAGTAGGACATGAGGTCATTGAGTCTACACACTTAGTAGGGAAAAGTAGATTGAATCTGTTTAGGTGTGTCATGGCTAGGAGGGAGTAGGTGCATTATACTTATTCCATCCCATAAAATCAAGTAAACAATACTTGGGTTTATTTGAATATTTTCTTGTTTGGTAATTTCTTATGCCAAAACAGACAATTTTCGAAGTATAAGGTTATAACTAACCATAATCAGAAAGAACAATTCAAGCATTCCCAAAAAAAAATCCAACTTCTTTATCGGTCTCTTCTTTTTATAAAACCCAATATTTCTCTGCCTTTGAAAGCAACGAGAAAAATTTTCAGAGCAGCCAAAAGGCTTCTCTAAGTTCCCTCAACCTTGAGGTCATAAGGCATGGCAGGAATGCTGCAGGGGCAGTAGATCTTGTGGTTCATCAACCACACCCATCTCACTATATACTACGGCACATCCTCTCCCAAAAAGAACTTCCTAATTTTGGAAAGCACCAGCTTGGGTGGTTGACAGAGAGGCAGGAGGGAGAGGATGTTGATCCCTTGCCCTCCCCCAACTGGAGCCTTGTAAACTTGGAGAGTAGAATCAAATAATCTAGTCCCTAGATGTTGTTCTAGGGTTTAAAAGTTTAAGCTTATAGTGTTTCTGGAATTTTATCAAACACGTACCTTGCAAATTGAGAATATATATCTATCTATCCGTCTTTCTGTTCGTCCATCCACCCTAGATCCAATGAAATGTTCTACACTATCCGAACAAAATGAGAATTGTTTAGACTTAACAATGGCAGCCAGTCTTTATTTATGTATCCACCTAGCTATTGTCAATTATATTTTTATTAAGTTTGTATAAATAAATCATATATGGAATTTATATATTGAAATTATACAGTGAAACTGGATTCTCCATGCCTCTACTATAGCTAAGACTGATACCGCAACATTGGGAAGATAAACATATAGCCCAATTTACTCAATAGATTAAAGACCTGATTACACTTGCTACCTACGAGAGGACTGCCTACAGATATAAACTTTGTAGGGACAAATATAAGGAAATGTAGGACACATTTACACAAAGTACAGTAGGTTAAAAAAAGCATGATAGTCATATAAGTGTATTAGAAACACACACACTTGAATACTGTTTGCATTAGATAATTACATATAGAATTGTAACTGTTTTAATAACATATTAAAATCTTTTTTCTCTCTTGTATCTTATTTCACTTATTTTTAAGCACGATAATGTATTTTTGATTTCTTTTTGTTTGTTTGTTTCTTTTTCTGTTATTATTTTAAAAGCAATATTTTTTAAAAAAAAACTTTGCATAAACAAATCAGCAGATGTAGACATAATTATCCAAACCCTAACCAGACGGTATATTCTATCAGCATTTCTGCATGTTTATTATGTTAAATAAAACACATACGTATGCTGTATAAAATCAAATAGCCTGTATTTATGAGGAATAATCTTATTACTATCCATCCGTCCAGCATCCCAATCGCCTCCAACATACCAAAACGTAGAACTGTAGCCTCAGAAACTCCTGCTGAGTGTCAAGAGATGGAAATAAATGTATAGTCATTTAAGTGAAGGCTTGCAAGACAAACCCAAAATTAAAACTGAGATAATAACATAAAATAGTTAACAGTACTTTAACAGCAATGGTCACTTCATAAATTAAACCTAAATCATTTCAAGTTTGTTTAAACCAAAAGGTGATACAAAGTTGCATCCATCCAGTCCCTAATGTTTCAGTATCTAGATTCTTATAAGGCATCCAGTTATTTCCATTTCGTGCAGTTATACGGACAAATCCAATTTAGAACTTAAGTGTTTTTGCCCATTGCTGGGAATGTCTCAGTCAACAGCATCTTCAAATTGGCCATCCTCTGTCACAGCTTTTAAGTGAATCAAAGTCAATGGTGCTACGTGGTGTAAGCTTGGGTCATACAGAGGTTCTTCGTGAACTGAATAGGACGCCTCTCCATTGCCATCCCGGAAACCTCCACAGTAGATAATATCATCTAAATCTAAAGAGGCAATTTGGAAACAATGTAAAATGCTGAACTTAATATATATATGTGTAGATTGCAAAATTACCCAAGCTAAGGTTCTGTTAAATTCTGAAGAAATGTTTTTTTAAAAAATATTATTATGCTCATTTATATTCAGCTCTTCCTTCTGGGAGCATGCATTTTCAAAAGAAAGAGTAAAAAAAAAAAAGTGTTCTTGGACCAATACGATTAGAAAGCTAAGTTAAAACACAGAAATAAATATTACAGCATCTATAAACAAAACTTATTATCCTAGGATTCAATTATCCTCTTCATCCAGTTACACCAGGAACAGAAGTCATAAAAATCTTCATGTTACAGAAAAATGTACGGTAACTAAATTAACTTTACAAAGAAATTGTTTTCAATTTCAACATAAACACTACACATGCTTTTAATTTATAGGCCATATTATATGAAGGACTGCTAATCGACACACTGTGAAATCAGTAATTCATTTCCTTTCCTTCTCCAAGTGATACTTGCTGTCAAAAAACTTCAGCAAGTTCTCTTAAGGAAAAAAGGATCTATGTTTGGTAGCATAAGACTCAGAAAAATAATGCTAGAGACAGGAAAGAAAAATGTGCATCCTTAAATAATAATATGCAACTCTTCTCCACATCACATCAGTAGTTTAACATTTTTCAGAAATGAAGAAAAATGGCAATTAAAAGAAGAAAAATCTTTACCATTTAAAAAATATATATTTCATCCTTGTTACATTACCTTTATGCACATCCTTCTGATAATTACATTACATTCTGATTAAATTTCAGATCTCTACAGAATTATTGAAAAAAACAGGCTTCTTCTTTAAAAGATTAAGAAATAAGACAAATAAGGATAAAAGGAACAAAGAAAATAATAATAATAAAAATATCTGAGAGTTTGTTTTTTTGCTAATTGAGCCAAAGTATAAAAATGGCATTATACATAAATCATTTAACAACCACTTGTTCATCGACCATTCAAAGTTATAATGGTGCTAAACAAGTGGTATTAACAGGTCCTCTACATTTCAGCCGTCCCACCACTCCCAGGATCATGTGATCGCAATCTAAGTGCTTGACAATTGGATTGGGATAATACATGCCTTATGCCTATTAGTGTATATTGTTTAGAATGGCTCCCTCTCTGATCACACAATCAAGGGCTTTCCCCAAGAGCATTGATAAGCTGAAAGATGGCAGCAAGCAGCAGTCATGTATGTCAATAAGCAAAGCAAAATGGTTGAAAATATAGTTTTCTTGCAGGTGAACCCTCCAGCCCACCTTTCCTGTTTAATACATGATTTTTTTGTTATTGCTAAACAGTCTAGTAGAACAGCATCCCGTGAATTCCAGAGACCTTTCTTTTTTTAAAAAAGTTGCATTTTTTATGTTTTTGAGTCAATCAGACAAATAGGTAGCCCTATAAACTGAATAAATGCATAAATAATCTATTTCATATCTATGGAAAATAAGTATGCGGAGTCCCCACAGGCACTTTTAAAATAATACACATAACTATGATTGTTATTATGTTTTTTTATATTGTTGCCTTTTTATATTGCAACAGTTCTGGTTAGAAAGAACTCCTTGTATTTTCAAATAAGGTTTGCGGAGGACTGTGTTTTTCATTGAAACTATACAACTATACTAAACTTATAGCCCAACTGTGTATATTTAGAGAAAGTTACTGAAAGAGTACAATGGAATCATTATCAATAAATAAAATGGCAATGAAATTAAACTATCAGGTGGACAAGTATTTGTTAAATATGCAAAGGAAAAACTAGGGAAGCAGTATAAATATTTGAAAAAAATCTTCACAATATATGAAATGAATAAATGAATAAAAAAAAGGAGGAGATGCAGCTCCTACACCAATTATTTACTAGCAAATGACCAGGCCTTACTACTCAAGAATTTCTATCATTTAATTCCAAGCCAGAATACAATTTTAAGAATTAATATATTTATATTCTTATAATACAGCTTCTTTCAAATTAATGATAGTGGAATTACTTAGCTGCAATTCTCTCTCTCTTCTCTCTTAAAAAGCTCCCAGGTATTTATTCCACCTCAGAATTGTCCCCACTATAATTTGATAACTATTTAGGGCCAAAAAGAAGATAATCTGGATATCTTGTAGGGAGCCACACTTACATACAATTAGATTTCTTGAATACACATAATTCAATGTGTGTTTACCCTGAATATATATAAAAAAGGTAAAGGTTTCCCCTACCAGCAATGTCTGACTTCACAGCCAGAACCAGCTTAAATAATTCTATATGCATTATTTGTATGAGATCAGTAACATTTTAATCTCTCTTTAAAATTTGGATACAGCCTAGAAACTCATTTCTGAAACATGAGATACAACTGTGCTCTCCATTTTCTCATATGAAGTACCAAGAAATTCATGTATCAGAGCTTTAATCTGTCCAATGAGTCTGACAAATGCATCATGTATTTTTCCCAGTCATTAAGTTTCCTACTTGTGTTTGAAAAAAATCATAAATAAACCTTCCCTTACCATAAGAGTTTTTATTGTTTTCAGAGTCTGCCATCTCCTTATCCCAGTCTTCTTCTTCTTCATACTGGGTAACTGTTTTCATTTCAGGAAAAACAGTTTCGGTAGCCACACTGCAATATTCATCAACTGATTCCCAGTCTTCATTTTCTGATTGAAAGTCTTCAAAATCATCACAGTCCTCAAGAGTATTTATTTTTGCCTCCACTTTTTCTGTTAGCCCTACAAAGAATGTAGCCATTATTTAAAATATAGGAAAAATAGACAATCATAAGGATGATTTTATATACTAGGGGGCCAGAGAACAAGTACAATTAATGTTAGGCTGGCTCTATGCAATTTATTTAATAAGACAGTTACATTTAAAGTTGGGTTTTGACAAGACAGCAACTACCTCCCTGTATTACCCCTTGCCATTTCACCAACTAACATCAGGAGAAAAGATGGCAGTTATTGGGCCTGAATTAACCACATGAATTGCAAAGCACGCACAAGGAATACATTTTGCATTACCCTCAGATTTGCTGTATTAGTTTCAGGAACACCTGCTAACAATTTCAAACCCAGCAAAGGCCCAAGCCATGTATAAGCTTCTTAGACATTTTACCTTTCAGCCACTATTAATTAAAACTAATGCAGAATGCTAGGAGAACATTTGCCTGCACCACTCAGAAACCCTGGTATGATACTGCATTTGATAACGCAGGTTTAGTAATAGCTTTTAAAATCTCGAGTAAGCAATTGCTCATGTTAACCAGTTAACTGCTCAGAAAAAGCTTTAGAAAAAAATTAATCAAAAGGGGGGGAAAAACCAAGCCTTTGCCCAAACAAATGTGACTTTTTCAAGCTGTGAAAAACAATACTTCCCTATTTTGGAAGCTAATTGCTTGCTTGACATATGAGGGGAACCAATATTTGAAGGCTAAGATTTCAGATGCTAGATGGAAAGAGATTGTAGTAAGCTATATAGTTTTTCTCGATACCATATAATATTTCTTCGCCTCACCCCTACTACTGTTTTTCCATTCAGAGATTCTTAAACGAATTGACCAATTGTCAAAAAGAAAAGCCTCTAGCAGTGATCTAATATAACCTAGGCTGCTAAAGGGAAATGCTGATTCACAGGTCCCTGTCTTGATCTCCCCTTTTAAACACATCAATAAAACACTTCAAACATTTGATGACTGGAGTTCTATAACCATTCTCATCTCTAGAAATGGCAAAAATAGAAATCCTTCATTGACAGCCTATAAAATGAGCTTAAAACATTACAGTATATGCCCTTTTTTCGTTGTAAGTTTTTGGATTGGGTATATCCAAGATAAATTTTTAACAGAACTTAAGAAAGGTAGTGAATCAGTGTGCCAATTTACAATTTCTAACAGAAAAATACAAATGTGAGCAAAGTCACTCTTTATACATAGTCTTTACTGTATTTAAAATAAGTCTTCAATTTTATTTCAGGGAACAGACTATGATGAAAAAGTGACCAATGGTCACTCACTCTAATTAGGATGTAGTATGAAAACACAATCATCAAGTCAGATGAGATAGAGCTGGCTATCTTACTGCAGATGTTCCAATTCATTGAGGCACATTGCATTCTAGCACCCGGTGGTTCAATATTTATGTGGACCTCAGTGGTAGTTGCTCCAACCATTCTAAATTCCATCTAAACTTAAAAACTTTTGATAATGCTGCTATATGCCAATGAACCAGCTATTCTTTTGTTTCCAAATGGCTCTTAAGAGAAGTTTAGAGATTTAGCAGAATAAAAATAAATAAATATTTTAAAAAGGGAAGTCTTATAAGCAACCATTTCCAAAACCAAGATTTAATCTTCCTGAGAAAAAAAGTCCCTTCAGATATCTATGACAAATAGGAAATAATAAAACTGAACATGTTCAAGATTTTAAATACCTTGGCATGATTTTTTAACCTTCCAGAAGTTAAAAGGAACAAATTAGATTCATTGCTGCCAAAACTAACAACTGTGCCAAGGCAATTCTGGGCTTTTTCCATTCTAAAGAGAGTAGTTGCATAATTGCTATCATCAAGTTTTTAAAAGCTAAATCTATATTTCATATCTTGTCTAGTTCATAGGTATGGGCCTACAATGATCAAATGCCTTTAAGTACTATTTAATCCACAGTACTGATGGTATCTGGATTTACTGATTAAATAAGAGCAAAATATTAAGAGATGGGGAACCACATTATGTAATTTTGATTGGGAAAATGTTTTTAAATGTTATATCTGCTACAAAGAATATCAGAAGTGGCTTCCTTAACTATATTCTTATTTTCGTTTTCTATTTGTCCAAATATTGAAGCTGAGACATTTTGAATTGTTTTTTCCTATTCTATTTTTATTTGCTATGCTATTCTATTTTAGTTTATCTTAAGGTTTCCTTTTAATTCCAACTTTTTAAATCTCTTTGACTAATTCACTGCTTCTATTTTATGTGTAATTGTTTCTTCTGTGCTTCATCTTGCCAGTAAAAGGCTTAAACTAATAACACAATTTACAAAATCCAACAGTAAAAGGACCAGTAAGCCTAGTTTGGTAAAATAAGCCGTGTTGCTGGAGTTTGGCTCATTGAATTAAACCATAATGCCAAGTTGCATTACACATAAGAGCCTAGTCATGCATAAAAAGATTGCCATCAGCAGTCAGTCACGCTATACTCATGCAGACTATCTCCCACCAACTTATTCAGTAACATCTCCACCATTCAGTTACTAATAGCAATAGCACTTAGACTTATATACCGCTTCATAATGCTTTACAGCCCTAAGAGCTTTACAGCGTCAGCATATTGTCCCCAACAATCTGGGTCTTCATTTTCCTCGTGCATTGCACTGTGTAACAGCCAAACAAGGCCTATGTCCAATATGCAAATACACTCATGCAATGTAGTATTCTACAACTGAGCTACTGTTTCCTTTTATAGAAATGCAGCTATTTTTCTCTAAATACCTTTCCCAGGTCTCCAAATGAAAGTCTTTGCCTTCTTTACTTCAACTTCCTCCTGTTCAGTAATGAAGGATCCATTAACTTTCATCTGCAAAGCAGAAATGCTTATTTTTTAAAAAATTAAATGATTCCTATCTTCTACTATTTTCATATAAATGCTCCTAAAATTGCTGGATAACAAATATTACTCTTGAAAGTTGGATTAAAGCTGTCTTTTTTAAATAAAGATGGGCCTTAAGTTCTTGTTATTAAAATATGGAATTGATAATACATTTTTAATGTTAACTTCATAGTAAGAATACTAAATTTTAAGTTGCTAGTTAACAATTACTTTAAATATCTTCTTGAAAAATAAAGCATGTGAAGCATGTAGGACCAAGCTTTCTAGCTGTCATTAAGAAGCAGAGGCAGGTGCCATAATGCTGTAATATTCTGTTTCCTCAGTTCAGAATTGCAAATAATGCAGTCATAAAGATGAATTCTGTAACAGGAATTTTGCTTTAATGTAGGGTTTTAATATGTTCATCTAAACAAGTGCTCCCCAAACCTGGATAAATAATATTGGGTAAAAGTGGGGGTTTTGGGGTAATGACCACAAACCCACACATCACAACAGGGATATTTAAATACTTTCTGATAAATAATTTTGGGTAATGAAGGAAAAGGTTGGGAAGCACTGATCTAAAGTAAGAAAAAAACAAAAACCTCTACCCAGATAGTTTGGACCTGAACAGGTGACAATGCTGACTAATTTTTAAGAATAATACTAAGAAATCCATGATTAAATGTAAATATTTTTTCAAGGAATAAAAAATCTATAGAAAGTAGGTGATTTCTCCAGATCAGGCATAGGCAATTTTTTGGACTGCCTGAAATGTTTAGAATTTTAAAAGGGTATTATTTCCATTTACAAAATGGCAGCTATTGATGGATTTGCCTCTTCACAAAATGGCTGTTCCATGCATGTAGCTCAGGCATGTCAAACTCGCGACGTAAGGTGATGTCGCGCAATGTATCCTGACTTTTTCCCCATTGCCAGCAATGGGGTGGGTGCAGTTTCAGTGTGACGCATCCGGCCCGTGGGCTGGCAGTTTGACATGCCTGATGTAGCTAGTCACAAAATCTGTATCTATCGTAACTGAGATTTCTCTCTGTTTTCCATACTATAGCCATGTTCTCTATGAATTCAGAGTAATTTTGTCTTTTTTTTTTCCTAGACAGAACAGCACTGAGATACACCATGCTGGCTTTCTAAAAGTGCTTATGGGGCCAATACACAATCCAGAAGCATTCATGTAAACAAATTTGATCTAAAGCCTAAATTAAGGCTTTACTTTGCCATGTGGATATCTCCCATGTATTTATTTAAAAATAAAGTTAAGAAAAGAGAGCAAGGTCAAAGGAGGCACCATTTCCTACTACTCCCCAAAATATGAACATGCAGATAAAGGAACCATGTCTGTCTAATTCAGTAGAGTGTCTACTTGTTGGCTATAGCTCTCTAAGATCCCATCTTCTAAAACCTAAAACATTAATGGGTTAAGAATCATGGTAAGACAACCAGACTTTGAAAATACTATCACATTGGAGTGTTCATGTACACAATTTAAAATATTAAAAACAGAAGGCATACATTTAAAAAAAAACAGAATTTAAATTGCTGCCAGGGATAAAAACTGTACTCAGGGATAAAAACATTTTAATTATATAGCATGTTCAAGTAATTTCTGAAGGATGGCAGTTTGATTTTCACTGGGTTTCTGCCACTAGCATCTAGAATTCAAAAATTGACAGTAATAATCCCTGATGTCCATCTGATTTCTTAAAAAAAAAAATGACAATTTTTAGTAAAGGTTCTTTTCCTAGCAATTTTCAGAGGAATAATTTGCTTGTAAACATACTAGAGTTTCCACACTATAAGATTTCAGTTGACTGCATTTTCGTATTTCATTTTATGAGTATGGGGTGGGGAGAATGATGACATGACAATGCCATGACTTAAGCAACTATGTCAGGCTTTGTAAGCAACTACATTATATTTTACAATAGCATTGTCATGAAGACATTATTGTAGTTTGTTAGACACCATAAAGTCCAAACTAGTACCTTTTATAAGTTTTTTAAGTTTTAAGCAATTCTTAAAGCTGCTTACCTAAGTAATTAGAGGTGTCATATTTCTTAAAGGAGCAATAAATACCAGCAAGAAGCTTGCAGCCTAAGAAAAAGCTGGTTATTTTAAATCAAACTACTGTATAAAGTGCATGTTCCTTGTTTCTTAGGCCTTGCTGTCCTTATTTGTTACCAATTGTGAAGTCAATTAAAGTCACGATTAGCAAAATTCTCTGCAAATCTAGACTTAAAACCCAGAATCTTTTAAACCTGTAACATCCAATTATTCTATATTAACTTTTACTTTTATTTCCGCATAGCACATCTTTTTTTCAAAATGTCACCATCATCTGTCATCATTATCTGTTATTTCTTGGGAACCATAGTTTTACCCTACACTATTACAGGTAGTCTTCAACTTATAACAATTAGTGACCATTCAAGGTTATAACGGCACTGAAAAAAGTGACTTATGACTGATTTTCACACTTACAACCATTGCAGCATCCTCATGATTACATGATAAAAATTTGGATGCTTGGCAACCCATTCATATTTATGACGGTTGCAGTATCCCAGGATCATGTGATCTCCTTTTGCGATATTCTGACAAGCAAAGTCAATGGGGAAGCTAAATTCACTTAACAACTCTGTTACTAACTTAACAATTGCAGTGATTCACTTAACAACTGTGGCAATGAAGGTCATAAAATGGAGCAAAATTCACTTAACAAAAATTTTGCTTAGCAACATAAATTTGGGGCTCAGTTGTGGTCATAAGTCAAGGACTATCTATATACTTTCATCTCTTACCTTCCCTTGCATATATTCTTAAGCATTGTATTAGTTTAGAACCATTTAGTTTATGTATTTATTTATATTTCTTATTTCTAAACCACCCATTTCCCTCAAAGATGAATGAAACTGCTATTTAAACATCTCCATATTTAGTCCCACATCTTTCTCCCTCGGGATACTATTACTAAAGCTTCCACTCATCCAGCTTTTTGATTCTCTACCTCTTATGACCATTACCCAGTCCTTTCAATAAGTCCAATTCTATTGTGAGGGTCCATGAAAGGTTTAATAATACACTAAAATGATTATTTTTAAAAATATCTGGGCTGTAAGTATGCTGACAGTGTTTCTTCAGCCACTTCCAGCCACTGCTTGGAAGGGATTATCTGATCCCTTAATGCATATTTTTCAACCCGATGTCTTCCTGGTGCCAGACCTAAGAGTTGCAGACCCACAACTTGTTGTGGAGACTTACTGTACCAGAATGGGGAAAGCTTTCTTAAACCTTTTACCTCAGGAAAGATGCATGGCTGCCTAATCATATTTAATCAAGTTCCCTCAGCACTTCCATTGCACTTAAAAGCAACAACCCTAAAAGTAGCAAGTTACATCTCCTAGTGAAATTAGCGTGCTTCAAATTCTATTAATTCCACCCGTCACGGATAGCGTTAAACGGTCGCCTTCCTCCCCCCCCCCCAGTAACGCTCTATTTTAATTTCAAACATTGTGCTTCGTTACCTAGCAAGGAGCAGGAATATATAACGTAGATTCCACAGTCTGACAATAACCTGCCTAATTCCTTTTTTTTTTTTTTTAACCTCGTCAGTACAGAAGCATCAACTCGAAAACCCCGAGTTTTGAAATGCCACCTCGGGCCACCAAACCAATTATCGCGTCTCGTAGATAATATCTGCATTATGTATTATCTACAGCTTCCCAGTAAAAAGGCACGTACAAGCGGCCTTGCCGTTCTCCACTGAAGAATAAGCGTTTCACTGAACCGGTTCCTAAAATGCGTTTCCTACACCTGGGAAGCAAAGCCCTTCCTCCCAAGGGTGCCTAAATATTCCCTCACGCTTTGCACCGCCGCTAACCAGCTGCAATCGCCCAGTCCTTGGCCCAGCTGCCCGGCCCTCGCGCCCAGAAGCTTATCCCCGTCCGTCACGTGGGCTCTCCCGCCTCACCCTGCAATCTAGGCTACGCCCCTGAGGAGCAGCCGTCTCCATGCCCGGCTGACGGGGGTTGTCCCGACTCAGTCAGTCGACCCAAGCAGACACACACACACAACCTCCCTTCCCACGAGAAAACTCTGAAAAGGCGCGCCTCACGTGGCCAGCCGAAGCTTTGCACCCAATCCGCGGCCGGATCTATTTGACTTGGCGCGCGCCTGCTGCGGCTTTTTATATATATATTTAAATTCCGCCTTTTTTTTTTCACATACAATTGAAGAGGGCGAAGGTGCAGTACCAATGAAGGTAGTCCTCGACTTACGACCACAACTGAGCCCAGGATTTAGGTTGCTAAGTGAGGAATTTGTTGAGTTTTATCCCATTTTGCAACTTTTCTTGCCATGTTTGTTAAGGGAATCGCTACAGTTGTTAAGTTAGCAACACGGTTGTTAAGTGAATCTGACTTCCTCGTTGATTTTGTTTTGTCAGAAGGCCACATGACCCCGGGACACTGCAACTGTCATAAATATGAACCAGTTGCCAGGCATCCAAATGGTCATACATGTGAAAAATGGTCATGCATCCTTTTTGTAGTGCCATTGTAACTTCAAACAGTCATTAAACGAACTGTTGTACATCCAGGACCTGTAGTCCTTCCTACTCCTATTTTCCTCATAATCCTGTCAGCTGAGTTGGGCTGAGAGAGAGAGAGAGTACCAGTTCTGGGAGTTGAAGTCTGTATCTTAAAATTGCCAAAGTAGAGCAATCTTGGTCTATGGGTGCATTCAAAAACTTTTAATGGTTGAGAGGATTTCAGGAGAAAAGGCTTGTTAATTGAAACCCTCTCTTCTAAACAATGAATAAAGGCAAAGGAATGGTATCATCCCCTGAACCTGGATGGCTGGTCATGCTAAAATTTAAAACCTGCCTTTTAATACTGCCAATATTGGAAAGCTACGCGAATGGGGGTCAAAGCTAAACCAGATTTCTGCTGTTGAAGAAAACCAGGGAAGCAAGGTTAAACTTCATTTTATGCACCCCCATCTTTCCATTACTTATGGGAGACTACCTTGGCTAAAGAGAAAATGTTAGTTTTGATGAAAATCCCCACTCCTTGGTGTTACCCGTAAACTCCATCCAGGGATCTTTTATTTCAAGGTGAACCAAGCCTAATAAAATCTGGTGCCAGCCGTGCTTCCTTAAATAGGACAACAACAAAAATGCCCTTTTATGTACTCTCAGGTGTTAGGCTAGGCTAGGGCAATTGATCTCTGCTGGATGCCTGATATTTGTTTCGTGTGTGGCCCAGATTCATCTTCTGCTTGCTGTTTATGCGAATGGTTTTTATATTTCCTTGGATTGTAAGCTGCCCAAAATCAGTCTGGAGTTCAGTGACACTAAGTGGAATAAATTATTTAATACTTAGAAATGCTCATTTTTCAAAGGTGAACCCTGACATTGAAAACAAGTTTCTGATGTTAACATTCTGAAGTCTCCCCCAACATAAAAATCTAGGTTTTCAGAGCTTCTTGGCCCAAATCTTGGTTCTGTTAGCCATTTACCTCACAGACAGACATCTCAGTTTAATCTTGATTACAAATTTCAAATCTTTTCACAAATAATTGATTGGGTAGAAATCAAGAATAAGGAAATAATTCAAGGAACTGCACATCAAGAGATTCAGAAATTTTAGGCATGAAATTGTCTTTATTTCTTAGTAATATACCATATTCTCATATATAGCTATCTTTGACTAGATTGGTTTTTATATGACCTCAGTAAAGTAGTTTATAAACCAGGTCACAAAATATCAGAGCATAAGCCCAACTGCTTCTGAGGGCCATTTGACTTCTCAGATCAAGGTTGTGTATGTTAGACTTCTAAGAGCTAGCTCTTTCAGATGCACAAAAGGGGTTATAAGTTGAATTTATCCATCATGCTAAGGTAAAAGGTGAGTTTTGGTGTCATTTCAAAAATCTAGTTATTGGGGGGGGGGGTTTACAGTTAAAGCTTAACCCAAAGTATGAACTCATCCACTAAATTACAAACTGCATTAAGCCACAATGGATTTGATTCTTGCTTTGTGATGTGTGCGAATACAGTTAAATAAAACTCTGTAGGTTTGATAATCTATAATATACTACTAAAACCCATTATCGTGACCTTTAACTGGATGAAATAGTGCATCATAGGGCAAAAATTTTGGAACCAAAGTATCTCAAATGAGCTAATTTACAGAATGTGTCCAGAATTTGGGACCCATGAGTCCTAGGAGAATGAAATTTGAGAAAGCTGGGACTGCTTCAGTGCTGTTACTGCACTGCTGCTGTGGTCACATGATCTCCATTTTCCATTAACAGTTTCCAGCCAGCCTTACAATCCCTCCCTGCCTCCCCCACCCAGAGCAGCCACTTACCTGCCTGCTGGGAAGGTAAGGGAAGAATGCTCCCTGCCTGATTCCCACAAGGAAATTCAATGAGGAAGTCACTCTTGCTCCCATTGCTTTTTTTTCCTACTCTTGGGTCATTCTGTTTCTGTTTAGATAAGGAAATATCTCTGAAACAGTGATGCAATGGGCATGGGTTTTCTAGTACTGATCATTCACTAATTGCCTGATAACAGCTTGTGAAGATTGTTCATTAATTAAAAAAATAAAACAAAAAGCTGTTAAATCAGTTTGTTCTTATGTGCATCCTTATGTTATCAATTGGAAGAAGACATCTCTCAAATTTCACATTACTAATGTCAGCCAGAAGGAATGTCTGAGTGTTTGCATTATATGAAATATATTTTTAAATGGATGACTTTAACTTATTACCACTTCTCCGTATTTCTTCCAGGTTTCTGATTGGTAAATTCACTCCAGACCTTGGTTAGTCATAGCAACTGGAATGCATTCACATGATGGTCTCTTTTAGTTTTAGGCAGATTCTGAATATGTAAAAAAACTTCTGAGAAATATCCAGGAGTAAAGTTTAGAGTCCCACTTTTAAGTCATCACTTTATACCATCTCCTCACTAAATATTTTCTACAGTTATTCTTGCTTAGGTAATTTTTTCCCATTCTCCCGTGCAAAACCCTGCATAGGTCTCCTTGCACGCATTGCATATTTGAGACCTCCCTTCAGTCTTGAAATAATAGTTAAGTCTGGCAAACATGGAAACCATTCCAGAACCTTTATATTTATTTTCTATAAGCCTTTGCTGGTTGCTTTGGAAATATTTCAGATTGTTGTGAAATGCCCAATCTAGACAGAAGAGATGATGTCCAAACTTTTACATTTGACATATTCAATTTTTTATTTTGAATCTTTACATAATGAGTATGGATTCATTGTTTTAAAAAAAAGAAATGTGCCTAATTTGGTACAAGTTAGCCTAACTTCACTAAGTCATTTTCTTCTGTTCTCTCCCCCTCCCTCCCATATGCACCAAAATACTTTTGCCTAGAACAAAGTTTGCATGTTTTGCTGTTTACACAAATCACTCAAAACTAGTTGTTCCTGGAACCATCTGTATGTGACCATTTACATTTGCTTGGCAGACAACTAATTTCTATTCACTAGCCAGAATGAAATCCAGTTCCGTTATATAAAATATAAAATATATAAATAGGCCCTATCATGAAACAGTAGCAAAATAAACTCTAAATTAAGTTTGTTTTTCCACTTTCCCTGAAAGTATATTTATACATATATTAATTAAAATCCAAAACTGCTACATTTCTGTTAAATCCAGTAACATGGAGAGAATATGGATGGTAGGCAATTATTTAGTAGCAAGTAAAGTAATTTATCCAGGGAACATTCATTATACATTTGACTCAAAAGCCAAGAGTTTCCATAGTTGTAGAATAACAAACAGATTAATTTGCCGTCAGAATGAAAAAAATAATTTTCACAGGTGCCCAGCTTGCAGCAATGTATATTTTGAAATAAATGTTTCCACTTGTTCTCCTTGCAATGTTTTCATAGCTCTCCAGTGGATACTGCCACAATTCTCTGGTTTGCCTTGAGAATGATTCAGCTCTTCTTTGATATAATCCAGCCAAAGATCTTCAATAAAAAAAGCATAGTTAATACTGTAATAATGAAAATGCTACAAAAGAGGGAATTCCCTGGTGCCAAAAACATATTGCCTATATGTATTTGATAAGAATGTTGCAACTACACTGTATTCTGTAGAATAATCCTGGATGGATCAGAGACAAGGACTATGGTGACTTATGGTAGATCACCCACCCCATTGCCGGCAATGGAAAAAAAAGTCACGACACGTCACGTGACGTTACGAGTTTGACACCCCTGATGTATAGGGTGTTTTTTTTCTTTTTATGCACATTTTTATGTAGTCTTGTCTAGTTATCTTAATTTTTAAATATTATTTTAATACTTCAAATAGAATAAAATAAAAATTTGATGGAATGTTTCAACTACACAGTATTCTGTAGAATTCCAAGACAGACAGAAAGAAAAATCAGCAACTGGCACAATAAGCTCTGCTTGGTTCATTGAAAGATTTGGTATTCTTTAGCACAGGCATGTCAAACTGCCGGCCCACAGGCCGGATGTGTCACGCCAAAACTTGCACCCACCCCAGTGCCGGCAATGGGGAAAAAGTCCGATACGTCATGCGACGTCACATGACATTGCGAGTTTGACATGCCTGCTTTAGCAGAAAGAATCAGGTGATTAACACAGCTATAACAACTGAGAGTAGTCTTGGAAACCGACAAGTAAAAATTCTTACCAGGCTCTGTAGCACCAAATTCTCTCAAGGCACGTTCATAATATTCTCGGATGTTAAATATTTTACTGGATTCCTTTTTAAAAAAAGGTGGGTGGTTACCACGCTGAACTTAACACACAGTGATAAAATAAAATATAATTTGTCATGCAATCTCAATCATCTTCTGAAACTTTAGGCAGCCTTCATACATAAATCTTTTTTGGGCAATCTTACAAAATAATACATAGTATGTAAG